CGGTATTTTTCTCAGTATAAACGGAGATTAATCTGGATTGTTTTCCTGGCACTGGAGTTTCCCTTTAAGCAAAATAACTAACTCATATAGTATATGTCTTAGCTAGAATGTGAGGGTAAAGTTGTATTTTAGCATATTTTATTATTTGGAGTTAGTTATTTTACTTATTGTGCCACTTAACCACACCTGAATGAAACGGCAAATAATAAAATACGCTAAAATACACTCTTACCGGGAAATGCTGCAGGGAGACATGGGGACACTGAGAGACCTGTAGACCCTAGTGGACACTGGGAGACATGGGGACACTGGGAGACATAGGGACACTGAGACACTTGGGGACACTAAGGGACTATTAGAGACATGGGGACACTGAGGCACTTGGCGACACTGAGACACTTGGGGACACTGGAAGACATAGGGATACTGGGAGACATGGGGACGCTGGCAGACTTGGGGACACTGAGACACTAGAGACACAGTGTCAACATTGTCTGCATGTCTCAGTGTCCCCAGGTCTCCCAGTGTCTCAGTGTCCCCATGTCTCTCAGTGTCCCCTAGTGACATGGGGACGCTGGGAGACATGGAAACACAAACACTAGGGGACACTGGGCGACATTGGGAAACTGAGACACTGGGGGACATAGGGAGACACGGGGACACTGGGCGACATGGAGACACAAGAGGACACTGGGAGACATGGGGCACTGAGACACTGTGATACATAGGGACACTGTGTTACTTAGGGGACACTGGGAGACCTGGGGACACAGACACTAGGGGACACTGAGACATGGGCACACTGGGAGACTAGGGGACACTGAGACACTGGGTGACATGGGGACACTGAGACATTGTGATACATAGCAACAATGGGAGACAGGGAGACACTGGGAGCAATCCATCTATACAGCAGTATAAAATTGTAAGTAGTTTTTTTGGTGATTTTATAGAATTTTCTATGTGATTTACATCATGTGATATCCTGCATACATAATTATTTATGTAAATTAGTGTTTTTTTTCCAAGAAAGGGGGTAACCCTAGTTGAGATCCGACGCAAGGAGGAAAAGATAAAAATAAAGATAAGTGGCAGTGGGCAGAGTGGAATCATTAAAGGATCACTATAGGGTCAGGAACACAAACATGTATTCTGACCCTATAGTCTTAACACCACCATCTAGCCCCCCTGGGATCCTCATGCCTCCATAAATATAGCAAAATCTTACTGTATTCAAGCCAGAAGCTGTAACTCTGCATGCTGTTTGCCTAAAAAATAGGCAGTCTGCTGACATCATCAGAAGTGGTAGCCTGATCCAATCACAATGCATCCCCATAGGATAGGCTGAGACTGACAAAGAGGCAGATCAGGGGCAGAGCCAGCATAATTCAAACACAGCCCTGGCCAATCAGCATCTCCTCATAGAGATGAATTGAATCAATGAATCTCTATGAGGAAATTTCAGTGTCTGCATGCAGAGGGAGGAGATACTGAATGTTTGGATGCATTTTAGGCAGCCATGACCCAGGAAGGATCTCTAATAGCCATCTGAGGAGTGGCCAGTGAAGTTATCCTTATGCTGTAATGTAAACACTGCACTTTCTCTGAAAAGACAGTGTTTACAGCAAAAAGCCTGAAGGTAATGATTCTACTCACCAGAACAAATTCATTAAGCTGTAGTTGTTCTGGTGACTATAGTGCCCCTTTAAGATCCAGGGGGCATAAGGAAAGAAAAACTTCTAGAAAAAAAAATAGTGTCACTTTGAATCATCCGTGCAAGTGGCTTACACAGCCTTCCTACTCACTTCCTGTAAAGAGAGATCTAATGTTTAAAATTATTTTATGGCACATGTTTAATCTAGAATTGGTTTTATCTCCTGCTCTGTTAATAACTTGCTAGAGTCTGCAGCAGCCTCCTGGGTGTGATTAAAGCTTAATTTAGCAATCAGGAGATAAAAACCTCTAAAGTTAACACACTGAGCAGTCAGACCTGATTGAAAATTAAACCATTTTATCGTGCAGGCTGTGTGAGTCACAGCCAGGGGACGTGTGCCTAGAGCTGCATAAGTAGCAACAAAAGTGATTTAACTCCTAAATGGCAGAGAATGGAGCAGAGAGACTGCAGGGGCATGATGTATACACCAAAACTGTTTGCCTTGGTGGCCAGTGATAGCCTGAGTTTATCAGCTGACACTATCAGGCTTTCAATGACCACACGTAGCGAGTGTGAGAGAATCTATGTATACATATAACAGACTGCCAAGTAATGTGTGGACCTGTAATGGGACAGTACTGAGTCATCCTATGTTGAAATAGTTCTATACTGTCCAATCCATATATATTAAGACAAATATTATTCAAAGTCATCATTCCAAACTTTAATATATTCCTTGGAGCTGTAGAATGGTCTCTTTGCAGGAAGAGATCACTCCGTAGCGATACATTGTTACAGTATATTTACAGCTGTCACTTCATTTATTCCTCTACGTTTTACACGTAACAAGCTGAGCGTATGGTAACGCCTGTGCGTCTGGCGTCTTCGGGAATCCTCACACATCTGTCTCTAATCAGCGCAGAATGCTCGGCTGCCCATCACTTATTAGTACTATCAGACCTTCTCGAGATGTATTGCAGGTGATATGGGATTAGCATATCGACACGTTACAGATCCACTGGCTATCCAACATGAGATTGTAACTTTAAATCATGGTGTGGTGAAAGCCTCAGTGATAATTAACTCAGCTGCTCAGTCAGAATGTGGGTTTATTTACTAAACCATGAGTCAAGTGGAGAACTTGCAGATGATGTCTTCAATAGCCATTTTGGAAATCGATTGATATTCATTCTCCCGGCTATTTATTTATACAATTTATCAAGTTACTGCTTAGAAAATAGCCCTCACAGAAGCCCTCCACCAGATGTAGTATTTTTACTCATTGCAGCTTTGCACAGCTGCTGTTTGCTTCGGCTCCTTAATGTTAAATGCTGACAGCTGTTCTAAGACGTCACCAGAGTTTTCTAGCCCCCCCATTGCTGTAACACCAGGCCACGGTGACCCCTCACCATATCCCAAGTGCTGACCCCTCACCGTTCCCTGAGTGGTGACAGCTCACCGTACCCTGAATGGTGACAGCTCACTGTACCCTAAGTGCTAACCCCTCACCATACCCCAAATGCTGACCCCCTCACATTACCCCAAATGCATTCCCCTTGCTGTACCCCAAGTGCTGATCCCTCATCGTTCCCTGAGTGGTGACAGCTCACCGTACCCTGAATGGTGACAGCTCACTGTACCCTCACCGTAGCCCAAATGCTGACCCCCTCACTGTACCCCAAATGCACTCCCCTCGCTGTACCCAAAGTTCTGACCCCTCACCGTACCCAGAATGCTTACACCTTGTTGAACCCCAAATGTTGACACCTCGCTGTACCCCACATGCTGCCCCACCGTCGTACCCACAAATACTAGTCACTTTTGAACATTACATAGTATTGTTATAGTACATAATCGCTTTCATACATCATAGTATCCTTACAGCACGTTAATTGCTCTCATACAGAGTGTTACATTTAATCACACTCCTATATTACATAGCATCCTTACTGTATGTTAATAGCGGTCATACATTAGAGTATTCTGACAGTATGCTCCCAGCATGCCCTGCGTGTAGAGTGCCGAGCAGGCGCTCTCTGTTGCTGGAAGATCTGAGCGTGTTCTTAGCATACTAAACACAGTTAAAATCAATCCCAAAAATAACCTTTTTATTAAGATTGCTGAGCAGGTTTCATACCTCACACAGTATTAATCTTCGCTATGATCCCTTATCAGCTTCTGTTTGCAAAAATAACCCAATGCACTTTTTTTTTATCAATTCCTTTAAAATTTTCCCAAGAAAGCATGTTCCTTCACTTGATGGGACTTATAATTCACAGTAGCCTGTCCTCACCACTTTGCAAAAGACCACAGAATAAATACAAATAATTAGTACTTTCGTCAAGCATTCCTTGCGACGGGATAATTCACGCTAAAAGTTTTGTATGGAATAGTTTATCCTATTTTCTGGAATTATAAACTTCCTCCAATACTATAAATTGATCTGACATGGACTGTGGAATTTTTTTTCCCCCCCTGGATTTTTATGTTCTTCAATCTTTAACGAATTCCCAGCCATCGATGTGAATTATTCATTCCCTGTTTTAATAGATTTTGTCTGTTTCCCAGATTAAACAGTAAAAGGCAGAAAATGACTCTGGGCAACATTCCGGCTCTTTTCAGTGGCCCATAAAATGGTGACTATACAGATATATGTTGATCTATAAAACTTGATACAGCATTTATAAAATCTAACAATGCCAATATGTAAACTCTTATTTGGATTTTTTTTTTGTGTCCTATTCAAGCGCCAAGCGCCCAAAGTATGTGGTATGACTAGTATGCCACCTATTTTACGTTTCCGTGGCTTCTCTGAAAACCCTGTGCATTAACCCTTTTCACTGTTCCAGCAAAATATGATATTGTCATAATTAAGGGTTAAACATATATCACTGATACATGATGCACCGTACCTGTCATAGCTCCATCTGCTGTAGGACATTGCCCTGTTGCTGCTCACACCTTCCATTTCTGGTGGTATAGTGGACCCTGTCTGGCTATCAAATGATGGATGAACTGCAAACCCTCAGACAATAGCTGTAGGATGGGTAGCTCCAGACCTGCCAGCGATATTGGAAGGCGATGCACAGGGCTGATTTAGTTGGGAATCACAGTCTGAGGAATGTACCATTCACAGCCAGGATGGAGGGGTTTTCTGAGCATCCTATGGCTGTAATATGCACAATATATCACAGCTCCTGAGATGCTGGAGAGGCAGGAATAAATCCCCGAGCTGTGTGTGTGATACAGAAATATGCAATGTCTGTCCTGCAGCTCTCAATAAACACCTGGGTGAAGGCTCGGGGACAGCTCCCTGCCAGCATCTGATTTTTTTTTATATATGTCGGTTTCCACAGATACTGCTCCATATTTCTACATCACTTTCTCTGCACCCAATAGGCGAATACTTGACTCTTTTAAACCAGGTCCCTCTAGTGAGATGTGAGATGTGGTAATTAAATCCTCTGTGTACAGCTTCACATGCATGATAGACTAACAACACTACATGTACAAAGCACACCAAACACATCACCCTGCCATACAGGCACCTTGCCACTCTGTCACACAGACACTAAACCATGCAGCCAGCATTCACCCTGCCACGCAGCCAGCAGTGCAGTCCACCCTGCCACGCAGCCAGCAGTGCAGTCACCCTGCCACACAGCCAGCAGTGCAGTCCACCCTGCCACGCAGCCAGCAGTGCAGTCACCCTGCTACACAGTAAGCAGTGCAGTCCCCCAGCCACGCAGCCAGTAGTGCAGTCACCCTGCCACGCAGCCAGCAGTGCAGTCCTCCAGCCATGCAGCCAGAAGTGCAGTCACCCTGCCACGCAGCCAGCAGTGCAGTCACCCTTCTACGCAGCCAGCAGTGCATTCACCCTGCTACGCAGCCAGCAGTGCAGTCACCCTGCTACGCAATCAGCAGTGCAGTCACCCTGCCACGCAGCCAGCAATGCAGTCACCCTGCCATGCAGCCAGCAGTGCAGTCACCCTGCTACACAGTAAGAAGTGCAGTCCCCCAGCCACGCAGCCAGCAGTGCAGTCACCCTTCTACGCAACCAGTGCAGTCATTTTGCCACACAGTCACTGTGCCACGATTCCTGATGTGCCCAACAAAGGAAAGAATTCCTCCTTGACTGCAAAATGGTAATTACATTTCTCCTTTATAACAAGCTGCAAACTGCTATCACCCATCTTAATTATTGATTTAAATAGACTGTTTTGCCAAAAAAGTGCTTTTAACGATAAAAGAATTATTTTTTTTAATCTCTGTGATGCTGACAAAGTTGGTGCCACTGAGCTGTAGCTAGTAGTATGTCTTACCAGGACATAGTTACAGTGATTATGCGATGAATGTTGTACCTGTGCTGTACATATTAAAAGAACACTCCCTCACTGCTTCGATTCTCCTCCCCCTGCACCGCATTGATCAGGAAGGTTTGCCTTGGCGGTTGATGATGTGCTGAGAACATCAAACAACCCTCACTGGCCACTAATTGGGAGTAATAGTATGTATTGAACCTTGCAATGGATGGCTGGTGAAAGGCTGAGAGTGCCATCACCAGCCGCCATGGGAAACCTTCCAGATCACTACGCCATCCAGACAATGTCATGGGTTACACTAGTCGAAAGCGGTTTAGCCTGTAAGGTAAGACTGCACCCAGTGACTTCCAAACTGACCGCATTATTCGTGGACTTAATGCTTAAAAGACAACTGTCATCAAATTTTCACTTAAAATGACATTAAATTTTATGAAACCTAATGATATTTTTTTATATGCTGAATATTGATTTATTTAAGAAAATGTCACTTTATCTCAGCAGCCATGTTGAATCAGACTCTACTGTTATCTGACCAACTGCTGCTCAACCTAACTTGCTGCTGTGATTCCTCTAAGTCAGGGGTAGGCAACCTACGGCACTAGTGCCATGCACGGCACTCAAGGTGTCTTTCCACGGCACTCAAGGCTGCTAGAGCCAAACAGGCTCTGGCTATCAGGCGTCTCAGTGAAACTTCAGATACCTTCTAATACGAAAAGGTGGTGAAGGAAAATCCTCAATTTATGCATTGCAGAACGTAGAGGAAGTGACCTCAGATCAGTTCCTCCCAGCACTTGTGAATGGGAATCCACACTGTAGTAGAGCAGCCTGCAGCTGCTATTGCAGCTCCTGTCCTTGACCTGTACCTGGCCAGCCTGGTCTCCACTGGAACTCAGGGAAGCCACTCAAACAGCCCACACACAAACATACACACACACAATCCCCACTAACGCAACACCACTAACAATCCACATGCATGCACACAATCCCACATGCAGCCTCTCACATGCAATACCCCAAACAGCCCCCACACACTACCAAATACTCAATGTGACATATCCATCCACACACAATTCCACAAGCAGCCCCCATACACAGCCCACATTCATATGTATCATACACGATACCATAAACTACTAATGAACATATTCAATATAATAGCTCATATACGCACAAATACAACAATACAAAGCAATTACAGTAAAAATAACACAAGCAGAATACGGCAACATAGACGCCTCAATTTAAAAAAATAGGATCGGCACGCTACGGGACATCAGAATCCTATATCGGCACAGTGCTGCTAAAAGGTTGCCTACCCCTGCTCTAAGTCATGGGTCCTCAAACTCCGGCCCCCCAGATGTTGCTGAACTACAACTCCCATGATTCTCTGGCTATCTATGTAATTTAAAGAATCATGGGAGTTGTAGTTCAGAAACATCTGGGGGGCCGGAGTTTGAGGACCGATGCTCTAAGTGAACCTGTAGCGACAAGTTAGATAGAGCAGCAGTTGGCCAGATTACAGTCTGACCCAACATGGATACTGCATGGTTTGAGGAACATGACAAAGAGTTCAAAGTGTTGTCTAGGCCTCCGAATTCCCCAGATCTCAATCTGATTGCGCATCTCTGGGATGTGCTGGTACAACAAATCCAATCCATAGAGGCCCCACCTCACAACTTGCAGGATCTGGTGCTTATGTCTTGATTCCAGATACCACAGGACACGTTCAGGTCTTGTGGAGTCCATGCTTCAATGCATCAGAGTTGTTTTTGCAACAGAAGGGGACCTACACAATATTAGAAAGGTGGTCTTAATGTTGTGGCAGATCTGTTTGTGTATATATAAATATATAAAATATATTTATATAAAATGCATTTTTTTCCTGCGTGTTTCCTTTGGTTGTATATGAAGAGAACAGCTTGCAAAATCTGCTGTCTGCAACCTTTGCAAGCCCTTTCCATTTTCCTCAGTGCAGAATTTCAGCATGCGCAGTCCTCTGCCTCTCAATGAGTTGTAGGTCTTGGCAGCAGTTGAGGCATTCCTGTATGGGATGGAGAAGACTTACTCGTAAACCTGTATCTACCTGGATGTAGCTGTGGATATATCGCTAAATATGCAACCTAACTATGAATGTAACTTTTTTGTAGATCCTTTAGATTCTTCATTCTGAACATCTCTTGTTTGCAGCAGATTCCTGAAATTTGCAGCTTCTGCACTGAAATCACCTCTCAGCCAACCTGGACCTCCCATTGCTTTCAATGAGAGCGATGTATGTTTCCATTCAGCCACTGCACACATTTGCTCTTGCTGCACCTTGTTCATCAATGAAAGAAAGCAAGTGGCTACATTGTTAAACTGCTTGTCCTTCATTTTATTGATCTATTAATCAATAGAGATCTCAACTCATAAACCACACTTCTTAATTCTAGTGGGAACCAGTGTAATTCCTATTGAGATTGGAGATGTGCAATGTGGTTAAGGTCACTTGGATTTACCAGGATGATTTAATGTTGTCCAGAGTATTCCTATAAATACACCGAACTGGAAACTCTTCGAATCTCCAGTGGTCAGTCAGGACAGAATTTTGCATTGTCTGGCCTCCTCCATGCTGTAATCTAACATCCCAGGTGGAGCTGATAGATGAACCAGACATCACTGGATCTTCCATCAATTAACGACAGCGGAGAATAATCAATAAATCTGTGAGTCCGCAAGACTTCACTTTGGGGAAACTGATTTGTCACGCCGGGATGTAAAGAGCTGAGACTGATCCCCAGACCTCCTGATATCACGACAAGACACACAATAAAGATTAGAAAAAGAAGTCAGTTATTTTATCCACCCAGGAACAAACAATAGTTACAGAAAGGAGAACTTCTCCTTTATGTGTTTAGAAAGTGCTGATGGCTTATTACTCTGTCTTATGTTAAAGAGCTTCGTAATTACACAGCGCTGGGTTAAACGTCTCCCTCGGGCATTTGTGGTCAAGAAGGACAATTGTACACAGCACGAGTAGGCTCTGTTCTCATGGCAACAGCTGTAGTCCTGCTGGGAGTTCAGCATCGCGCTGCACTCCGGGGGACCTGCACGCCCCCCTCGCAACTAGGTGCTGTGTCACTAATTATTGCAGCCAGACGTTTTGCTCATTTATTCTCATAATACCCGCTCGTGTCATCAGTATACAGCGTCTGTACTTTGGCCAAAATGCCAAAAAAACTAAATTGTGCAGATCTCTTATAATTCCCAAGGAATAAGTGTTTATTTTGTATTATATATGTAAACATTTCACTATCAGAGCACAGTTATAGGCTCTGCTGATCCATTTTACTGCAAGAAAACTCATACCAAAGGATTTATTGCGGGAAGTGCAGGGTTAAAGGTTTCATGGGTCTGGGTCTTAAAGTTATGATGGGGCTAGATATACACATTTAATGACTGGAAACACTATATCAATAAATAATAAGAATCAAATGGTACCCACTTACCCATCTAGCACTGTCAAATTATTTCTCTCCCTACTTAGTCACGTCCCCTTCCCTTTAATACTCAGCCAGATCTCCTGTCACCCTTCCATCCAATTACAGTCGTATCTGCTGTCTCCTTCCCTCTATTACAACGTTATCTCCGATCCCCCTTTCCTTCTATTACAGCGTTATCTCCCGCCCCCCTTCCTTCTATTACAGCGTTATCTCCCGTCCCTTTCATTCTGTCACAGCCCTATATCCCGCCCCCTTCCTTCTATTACAGCGTTATCTCACGTCCCCCTTACTCTTATTACATCACTAATTACAGGTAGATATATTGCATTACTTACCAAGTAACCAGTGATGCAATCAAACCACCTGTAAACAGTGATTTTAATATATATACCAGTAGTTAGGGATG